CAAAGCTAGGTTAAGAGCTAAAAATATTTAATATGGCCGGGCGAGGTGGCTCACGCTGTAATCCTAGCTCTCTGGAGACCGAGGTGGGCGGATCGTTTGAGCTCAGGAGTCGAAACCAACCTGAGCAAGAGCGAGACCCCATCTCTACAATAAATACAAAGAAATTAATTGGTCAACTAATATATATAGAAAAAAAATTAGCGGGCATGGTGGCGCATGCCTGTAGTCCCAGCTACTCGGGAGGCTGAGGCAGAAAGATTGCTTGGCATTCCTGGGATGAATCCAACTTTGGCATGGGGTATAATTATTTTTATATGTTGCTGGATTCTGTTTGCTTGTATTTTCTTTTTCTTTTTTTTTCCATACGTTTCACCTGTATGTATTTTATTTTTGCGTATAGTTTGGAGAATTTTGCATCTATAGTCACATGATACATTGGTCTGAATATTTTTGTGGTTTTTTTTTTAATTTCCTGTTTATTTTTTTTAGATACAAGGTCTCACACTGTTGCCCAGGCTGGCTGAGTGCAGTGGTGCAAATATAGCTCACTGCAGTCTCAAACTCCTAGGCTCAAGCAAGGAGCCTCCTCTGCCTCAGCCTCCTGAATATCTGGGACTACCAGCATGCACCACCATGCCTGGCTAAGTTTTGTATTTTTTGTTGAGATGGGTTCTGCTGTGCTGCCCAGGTTGGTCTTGAACTCCTGGCCTCAACTGATCCTCCCACCTCCCAAAGTGATGGAGTGACAGGCATGAGCCACTACGCCTGGCTGAATTTTGTTACAGCGTGATGCCAACCTCAAGCCCGGTTCCTTAATAAATGATAATAATTATCATTGTTTTAAAACATGCCTAAATGCTGAGGATTCCGGTAAATCATTTGTAAGCGAATTAAATGTAGTAAACGAACAATTTTCTAATACAAATGTCCATGTAACATCTGGGAGATACTTATACCAAAAACGCCAGAAATATCTGGGATGTACATATACCAAAAAACCCAGCTATCTAAGGCCGGGCGCGGTGGCTTATGCCTGTAATCCTAGCACTCTGGGAGGCTGAGGCGGGCGGATCGCTCAAGGTCAGGACTTTGAGACCAGCCTGAGCAAGAGCGAGACCCCGTCCCTACTAAAAATAGAAAGAAATTAATTGGCCAACTAAAAATATGTAGAAAAAATTAGCTGGGCATGGTGGCGCATGCCTGTAGTCCCAGCTACTCAGGAGGCTTAGACAGAAGGATCACTTGAGCCCAGGAGTTGGAGGTTGCTGTGAGCTAGGCTGACGCCACGGCACTCTAGCCCGGGCAATAGAGTGAGACTGGTCTC